GGAAAGAGAGAGAAATATTGATAAGAGAAACATCAATCAGCTGCCTCCTGCATGCCCTCTACTGGAAATTGAGCCTGCAGCCTGGGCATTCGCTCTGACCTGAAATTGAACCTGTGACTTCTTGGTGCATGAATTGATGCTCAAACATTGAGCCACCCAGCCAAGCTATCTTTGACATTTTGACGCCTATCAGTTTTTCAAAGCTTGTCAGCTTATTGTTTATTTGAAACAAAGTCAAGTTTTTTACAGAGACTATAATGTTTTACACATGTGTTATAAGAAATCACATGCTTCAAATTATCCAATCTATAGACATCAAGTTAGTAATTTATTTTACCCTGCAGGTAATTGATTTTATATTGTTCTTAAATAAAAACATATTTTTTAAAAATGTCAAAGATAAATGTGAAAATGACTAGAACTCATGAGTATAAAAAAGTGATTATTTCAAATAATTAAAATATGCATGTTTATTTCACCTCTAAACTATGACCTATAGATTCAAATCTAAACAAATTTGTATTTTTACAATTCCCCTCAGGCAACATCCATCACCACTCCTCCCCAAATAAAAGAAAGGATTGTCAGCCTCAGCACTACTGACATTTGAGGCCTGGTAATTCTTTGAAAACTGTCCTGGCCTTTCTCACTAGATACCAGTAGTAGTCCTGTCCCCACCTCCCCACCCCACCCAGTGGTGAAAAATGTCTCCATTGTCTAATGTCCACTGGGGGGCACAATCACTCCAGTTGAGAAGAACTGCACAGACAAATGCTTTGTCAAACATCTCCAGTTAAGTAGCTTCCACATTTTTAGGTCCCATTTTCTCTCTAATTATCTAAAATCTAGTTAAAATACAGGTTCCTCTGCCCTAGTCAGTTTGGCTCAGTGGATAGAGCGTCAGCCTGCGGACTCAAGGGTCCCAGGTTTGATTCCGGTCAAGGGCATGTACCTTGGTTGCGGGCACATACCCAGTAGGGAATGTGCAGGAGGCAGCTGATCAATGTTTCTCGCTCATCAATGTTTCTCTCTGTTCCTCTCTGTAAAAAATCAATAAAATATATTTTTAAAAAATACAGGTTCCTCTCTGGAGAAAGGTGTCAGTTACTATTACCATTACCCATCTACTTCTCTATTAAAGTTCATAAAAATAAGGAATTCTGGGCAGTTGTTATGTACAAGCTGTTATTGAGGAATAACATTGTAAAATATACATTTATCAAAATAAAAGGTTCATAGAACCAAACCCATAAAAGATACAGCAGTTGCAATCTTCATCAGAATGGAAATATTAGATACATACAAATGCAACTTGCCTACACTTTGATTTTTTTCATTTTGCTGAAGCTTTCCTTCTCCAAGACAAACGGATCTTTTCTTATCCGCATAAAAGCAACTTAAATTACTAGTTCTAATGAAGGGGAGTATAAATATGATCAACAGCAGATAGCTTGATCTGAGAGTACATCTAATTTTTATTTTGCCATCATCTGGATATGAATCCAAATGCCAAAATTAATTTATAGTTCTTGAATCTCTAGTAGAGAAAAGAGAAATAAGTATAAAATTACCTTTAAAATATGAACTAAGGTTAAAATTCATTAAGGATAATTAAGTTTTTCCAAACATTTTATCATGTGCTAATGTAATCTGTTTATATCCAAACACAGTGACAACATACAAGACAGAATAAAAGACTCTTTTTATAGTTTAAAAAGAATCTCTTTATTAAACCCATTACAGTAGGATCCATTTTTAAAAATATAAGTACAAAAAAATTATAGGATTGTCACCAAAAATGTAATCGTTGAGTGATAGTATTGTAAGTTATTTTCCTTTTTGTCTCCAAATTAATTTTTCCTACAATAAATGTGTGTGTGTTTTTAAACCTTAAGCCTATTCTTTTTGCACTCCCCCTTTCCACCAATTTTATCACAGGTCATGGCCTATCAGCTAGGATTCCTGGACAATTGCTGGCACTAATTTGTTTCCTGGGATTATTTCCAACCATCCGGAACCTTTTCTACACTAATTTTTGTTAAAGGCATTTCCTATTAACCAAAGTTAAAATGTGACCTTTGAAAATTTTATTTCAGATAAAAATTATGCATAAAAACCAACTATCTTATAATTAGATCCTCAAGTTAGAAAGTGAATACTCTATGCAATGTACAACAGATGATAGCTCTTACCCTTTAATTTCCTGGTTTGACAAAAACTGTCAATTTTTTTTAAAAAGAGTACACATATACATTTTAAATTCGGCATTCTATTTCAGTAAAAATCGATTCTTATTTTAATTATGGTAGAATTTTGACAATTCTAGCAATGGGAAAGATGAATTTTATATCACTGTCATATAGCAAAAAGCAAATAACATTATAAGATTCCCAATATTTAACCTGGTAAAAATGAGAATATGTTTCAATCAAGAACATATCATCTAAAAAATAGTATTGCTATATAGTCATAGGAGTTTCTCATTCCATTTCTGCAAGTCCTACATGTTTAGAATAAATGTAGCATTCACATAACAATATAGTCCATGAAAAGAGTATATTCTTTTATTGTTTTGTTCATACATGTTAGGTTTCAACTTTCAATCATAAAATTCAATAAATTTGATTCCTTAATTATAAAAACTTGCTTTGCACATTATTTACATGTCACCAAAGTCTACAGCCATACAAAACATCACAAGGATCTTACTAGGCATGGAACCATCACACAGGAGGAGGACGGAGCTATCAAGTAACATACATTCAGAGATTAATTTGTAGATATGCACAGTGTATTTGGCACTGTTTATTAACAACACCTCCCTCTCTTAAGACAGGCTATTATGCCTTAGTCACAATATACACAATTTGCTATTCGCATCAAAACCAGTTTTCAAACTCTGTAACAGTAATCATTTTTAAAAAACAAAATCACACCAGATTGGGACTGGTTTTCAACCCCTGACTTGTTGCTATGCTCCAAGCTGCCATCTAGAATGTGGGTTTAATTTGATAAATTTTTCCATTATGGGGAGTGTCAATAAAGTATTTGAAAGATATTTAAACAATATCCTTCAATAGACATAAAGACAAACAACACTTTCCTTTAAAATTATCAGTTCTTCTTGGGAGTGCAAGGGAGCCCTGATAATGTGTTAACTAGTGATAATTTTGGCAGGAATTACAGAATGACCAATGCCATTCAAGTTGTGGAGATTGTACTAGTAGTTGAACCCATGAGGAGAAGGATATGGAATGCCTATATCTGAATTCAGAATCCTTAGCAACTTGTTTTCAGGGTCTCTTCCTAGGACTATAATAAACTTAAGTCACAGGTTATAGATTCACTCTGGTGTGTAGCACTATACTGCTACAAAATGGAAGAAAATAAAGTAAAAGACAACTATTAAACTTTTAGCAACTTTGGCTATATCCCAGAGGGTAATTTATTTGACTAACGTCATTTTAACAAATATTATATCTTTTCACTTCAATTGGGCCCATTACATTTAATTCATTAAAGCTATACATATTCCAGACACATGTTTATAAAAGCCATAAATTCAGTCTTAAACTAAAGCCAAAAAAATCCTCACTAGAACACGAATCGCTGTACAGGGGAACAGAAATAAAAAATTCTCTGGTCAAGTTCAAAGATATACTGTAGCTTCACATAAAACTTTCAGCAATAAACTGACTTTTAAAAAAAAGTCTTACAATGTTAAAAGAACAATGAAGTGCAAAGCAATATCACTAAACCAAAATTTAGTTTAATAATTTTATTTCAAGTATATTTTTTAATCATAAATGGGGTTTTGTAATCCAAAGTTTAAACATTTATTCTTCATAACTTCAGAATTTGACAAGCAATTCCAGATCTTGCTTTCCAAATCCAGTCTTCTCTGCTATTTTTCAGACTTCTGAGACCTACTATTTAAATTTCTCCATTCTAAACGTACAATTTTAGATAATTATTACACAGTTGTTAAGATTTTTCTGAAAACTGTCCATCAAATATAAAGAATGGTTTCTGTTCAAGGATCAGAAGTGAGGAAAGAAATATTAAATACCTATCAAAAATCATTTATTTATTTAAAAAAGATAACAGAACCAGTGCTGTTCTCTGACATGAAAGAGAACATGTAGAATTAATTTACTTTTGTAGCCTTTGGTAATGTTTTATTACCTACACAGCCCTCAATCTCACTTACAGGTCTTTTACAGAAAGTCACCATCAGGATTTACTGAGCAAAAACCCTGGGTACTAACATGGTCCTAAATGTGTGATTCCAAAGAGGAACAGGTTACTTTTGAGGAAAAGAGCTGTCTTATAATTTCCCTCAAATGCTTATTTTAAACAAACAGTTAGTGGAAATACTTTTTAACATACCTTTGGATACTATGTAGCACACTATCCATCAAACAACAAAAATCCATTAGGAAACTTTCCACCTTTGTTTTTCAGATTCCAACTTCTTCACCTTTTCTGGATTGCCTAATACTTAAATTTTTTAAGTTCTTTAAATTCTTCAATTCAATGTTGTAAGAGTTCCAAAATAATAATCTAACAGCTCTAAACATCCACTCCTGTCCCTACAAAAACAGGGAAAGAGTTGGGGCTGAAGGCTTTAAAACTGAAATTTCAGCTCCTATAACATTACTGCTGCTTGCTCAGAGGTGCAAGTCCACGTGTTTCCTTCTCTAACACTTCCCATTTATAAATTTATTTCCATACACACACACACACACACACGCATGCACACACGCACGCACACACGCACACACGCACACTTACTCTCAAGTAAGACACTTTTTTGTGTTTGTTGATAAATTATGAGGGTTATAAACTAGGTGTGTACAGGGTTTCATAGTTGCTTTGTAAACATCAGAATCACTTAGGTCCTTTTCTCCAAAAGCCTGAAACCAAATTATGCAGCCAGGGATCACTACTTTCCCAGACGCTGTTCACACGCTGCATACTGACGAAGGGCAGAGAAAAAGTCCTCATAGCTGATGTTTAGGTGGGAAGGCAAGGAACTGAAAAGGAAGCACAGGGGAAAAGAGGCAATTAGATGACATACTGTAATTTGGAGGGGGGAACCAGAAGGGTAATGACCAAAGAGAGGTTAAGGACAGAAGAAAGCAAACTGTAAATATAGAGAATACAAACCATTTCTACTAAATGATTGCTAACTGCGAAACAGTTCAAGTGAAAAACGATCTCTCCTTCCACAATAAGAGAAAAGTAATTTGTAGTGAGATAGCCATTCAGAGCCTCTAAGTAGGATTAATGCAAAGCTGGAGATCTATTTATATAGGATTTCATTCATTGACTTCAAGAGCTCCTCTCTGAGTAAAGCCAGTACCACTTAAATGGTTTAGGAAAGCCAGGCTTGGCACTGGCAGAGCAGCACGGCATCCCTGCACAGTGACAGACTGAGCCATGTGGTGAGTAACCATAAATAAACGACATCTACTTCCACCATTTCCAGTTGCTCAAGGGGACAGTGGCAGTGTGAAGACAAGGACTTTACAGGCAGAGTGAACATATAGCTGGAGGGTTTCCTTTAAGTATTTTATTATTATTTATTTTTAATCTTCACCTGAGGATTTTCAGAGAGGAAAGGGAGGAGGGAGGATGAGAGGGAGATAAACATCAATTGGCTGCTTCCAGTACTCACCAGACCAGGGATTGAACCACAACCTAGGCAAGTGCCCTGACCCAGAATCGAACCCACAACCCTTTGGTGTACAGGACAATGCTCCAACCAACTGAGCCACCCAGTCAGGGCTCCCCTTCAAGTATTTTAAACACTTAAGTAATTTTCAGTAATTAACATTTTTAAAAAATCTCTACTTTATACAGCTTTATTGTGAGGCTTTGGAAATTCCAAACACTACTGGAAGCAAACACCTGGCTACTGTACAAGAGCCACATTCATGCACCAGAGAAAAGGACTCGGCAAACCTGCCATGTATGAACTCCCCTCGGCCCCTGCGGTCCTCTTTTGTTCTACTTTACCTTTTCTTCCGCAAACCCCAGCTCTACTGAGACAGACCTGACATATAATCTTTATCCTTCCTTTGACTACCATCACCCCTTCATCCTATTCACTCTACTGAAATGACATCCTCAAAGGACTTTACTGACATTCTTCTTGCTAAAGCCTGCTTCAAATGTCCTCCTCAAACTACCCACTTTCCTAAGCCCTCCTCATTTCACCCCCTTTTCCCAGTCTCATCTCCCGTCACTCCTCAGGAAGCACTTAGCCCCCCACGCCTCCGAAGGGGTCCTATTTCCTGGTCGGCTTCGTCAGGGCTCACCCCTCTTTTCTGTATCAGGACATTTTCCTGCATCTGGGTGCTTGCAGTCTGGAGGACAGTAGACAAATACAGAGCAAACCTCAATAGAGCGTAGAGCTGTAACAGACGTAGAGCTTTGAAAGACACAGTACCAAGATCCACGAGGAAAGCCTGTACGTGCTAGATATCCGATGTCCATTATCAGATTTAAGTCCTCAACTCTGTTTAACAGCCCATTTTACAAATAGAAGTTTAATAGCTTTCCAAAATCATGTTAATGAGCTGCATAGATAGCTACGATTTAAACCAAGATCTGTTTTAAAACACACTTTTCCCTCTAAACTACTCCCACCTGAAAGGCATGGAAAATGACATGGAAAGTTCTAGAGAAAAGGAGACAAGAGAAATAAGCACCACCCTAGGGAAACCCAGAGTCTGCACATTTTAGTTCTAATTCCACTTTGTTACAAGCCTGAGCAATGTCTCTTCCCCTTTACTCGCCTACAGAATGAGGCGGCCACTCAGGCCTTTCTCACTCTAACATGCTGCTGCTCTTCTGCCTCTTTATTTGACACCCTTTCCCCGCAGCCCCTGAGCTTGGGGCACTTGACCCCTTGGTACTGTGCTCCTCGATGTACCCATTAGAGAGGTCCTCTACTCTCACAGGTTCCCTACTTCTACTTCCAAGATACTGACACTCCCCAGATTCATCTTTAGCCTTGACTTCTCATCCAAGCACCAACTCTCCATCTTCTTCTGCCCTCTACACGTTTCCCCCTAAACAGACTATGGCCTCAAAATCATCTTACTCTTGAGTTCAACATCTACCCTTCTAAAGTCAATGCTCCCTTCACTTTTCCGCTTCTCTGATAGCTCTATAATCCACCCAGTCACTTAGGCTTAAAAACTTAGAGGAGTCATTTCATTTCTTTTATCATAATTAGTGAAGTGCCAGGCCTGCAATTATACTTCTCATGAGATAGAATTTGTAGTATTTTTTCTCTTAAAGCCCAGAATTTAAATATATTTTAACGCTTCTAAATCTCTCCTTTGTTTTAAATCGACAAATACAGCCCAAGAACCAGTTACCTGTGTTTGTAAATAAAGTTTTATTGGAATGTGGTCACGCACACTTGTTCACATGTTGCCTGTGGTTGTTTAGGTATACTAGCCAATGTTAAGTAGTTGCAACAGAGGAGATCTTGCAAGAGATTGTAGGACCCCGCAGGCTTAAAATATTTACTATTGGGCCCTTCATACAAAAAGCTTACCCAACTGTTCAAAATAAGCAATTTCATTCTCTTCACTGTATCCTCCCCTAGATTAAGCTATGGCCTCTTCACTGGTGTGTTTACCTCATCCTTTCCCAAATGCAGTCTGCTCTGTTCCAGTTACCAAACATCTTCCAGGGTCACCATTCCCGCATCCTCCCCAGGCTCAACGGTTTCCATCTGCCTGTCCAAACAATGATATGCATTCCTTCTGCTGCTATTTAAAGTGTTCTCAATGTCTCCGCTCCCAAATTATTTGATTTTATTTCACACTACTACCTAACACTAACGCCCGACTCTGGTGTGGCCAGTGCCTTCATTCTATCTCTGACATGTAATGAGCATCCGCTGCACCCCAGCTTCCTGCCCCCCGCTTCCCCCTCCCCCACCCCGCGCCCCGCCAATGCCCGTCCCCTACACTTCTTTTCCTCTAGTTCCAAATTCCACCCAATTTACATCTTCAGATCAAGTCACATCCTTTCGACATAGTCAACAACTCTGGCCCTCAGAGATATCTCACTCCTGATCTCCTATGATACTTGATGTCAACACCTAACATTTGCACAGACATACCCTCTCATGTCTGAGCATTTATGTGTCTTTCTTTTACCAATGATACTGTGAAATACCTGGGGAAAGAATCCAGAATTGCAATTTTGGGGAATTCCCATTAAACATAGTACAGTACTAGGCTCCAGAAACTCCTGCCGAATTGAACCAAAGTCAGTGCACTTTTAATTACTTACATAATCTCAGTCAATCTGATGTGCCAGGGAAGGTAGCCTAAAGTGCTCTCCACAGGCCCAAACTTCAGTACTACATCAGGATCAGGAAAACCATTTGAACCTTGAAAAGAAAGAAATACACACAAACTTAATATGCACTGCTTGCAAATAAAATGACCAAGGGCAAAACCCATTCATCAAATTGGCTTCTTATGCTTTGAATATCAACACACTGTAGCTTTATAAGGACAGAATACAGAGCAATGGGATAGAATAGAAAGTCCAGAAATAAACTTGCAGATTTATGGTAAACTAATTTTCAACAAAGGAGCCACAGTAATTCAAGGGGGAAAGGTTACGTTAGTCCTTTTAATAAAGAAAAACTGGTATCCTAGGCCTCACACCATTCACAAATATGGGCTCAAAATGGAACACAGACTTAAATATAACACTTAAAGCTATAAAAATTCTAGAAGAAAACATAGAAAATAATTGTGACTTTGAATTAGGCAAAAGTTTCTCAGACATGACCCCAAATACATGATCTACTTAAGAAAAATTGCTAAGTTGGATTTCATAAAAATGAAACTCTTTAATAAAATCATTTTTAAAAAGATTTAAGCAGTGGTGCCAGGTAATAGATTCCATAACCCCCCAAAAGGACAGGATTCAGAGCTTCTTGGTTGGTAGACACAATGAGAGTGGTTTACACAGAGGGGGCATGGCTCCCTGATATCTGTATGAGAGGCTGCATTACCACACGCCCACCTCCCACTACACCCTCGCCTTGTAAGCCTTTTCCTGAGTTGTATCCCTTGCAACAAACCGGTAAACATAAGTGCCTTTTGAGTTCTGTGAGCCATTCTAGCAAATTATCAAACTTCAGGAGGGAGTCATGGGAACCCCCTATTTATAGCTGATTGATCCCAAGTACAGGTGCTCGGAGAACTACAACTGGGGTCTGAAGTGGGGGCAGTCTTGCGTGACCGAGTTCTTAAGCTTGTTAGACTCTAACACTAACTCTGGGCAGTTAGTATTGGAATGAAACTGAATTGTTGGACACCCAGTTGGTGTCTGGAGAATTATAAAACTCATTGTTGGTACAGAAAAACATCCCAGAGGGAGGAAGGCTAGCAGGCAGAAGTCCTTTATAAGAATACTCATCACTCCCCCCACAAATCCTTAGGTCCTCTCCTTTACCAGTAAGTCCTCATGCAAGTGAGTTGACTACGAATGTCATTTTCTCAAAACCAATTTCACACAGGATCTTAAACTTCAGAAACACAACATGTATAACAACAACAAAGTCAGGCTTTAAAATGTGAAAGGAACCTAGATATTCTTCTTCATACTGTATATTTGTGGAACAAAACTAAAAATAAATATGTATGACTTACTAAGTAAACTGTCTAACATCTGCACATCCAAATCTGTGGATTTACTTTGCTGCTGGGCTACTAACTGGCAGAATTCCTGAGCAGCTCGTACAATATCTGCTTTTCCATCTTCTGGGGACAGGACCTTCACTGCCACTTGGCAATTTAAAACTGGAGGAAAACACAAACAAAACATTAATAAAAACATACTTTCCCAGATATATTTCAAAATCAGTTTCAAGATATGTTATATTCAGACCTAAATAAAGGTACAGTTCTTATAATAAACAAGAATCATTTAAGCCCTTCAATTTCCATATCAAAATATACTTAAACTACTTTCCTCTGAAAGGACCCATACATCACATTTGTGTATGTATTTATATACTGCCTTCTCTTTAAAGTATGCAGAATGACCTTGTCTCTGTGAATAAATCCTCTAGCAAGTAGGAATTTTAATTATAGAATAAATTTCAATTTCTGTAAGTCTAAAGTGGCATCTACAATCATAGCAGTTAGCAGTAACATGGGACTGAAGATAAAAAAAAAATGTGTTTTAATGGAATACGCATTGTTTACAATACATACCCACTTAATCAAATTTATGATTCTATCCAAGCTATTTTACAATTGGTAGGATTCTAGGTAAGTAATAGCAATGCCAAATTCTTGTCTACAGAGGTTCTCACCAACCCCACTAAAAACCATTTCAATATTTCTGATCTAGAAATGTGTCCATTCTTTGGATTCTTTGAACTGGTATAAAATCTGCGTGGCTCCTCGTGGCTTACGAGTGAAATAAAATCTTTAACATGTGTTTATTTTTTAATATCTATGAAATTCATAATTTTATCTTTTTCTGGAAATCATTAACAAATGGCCTGGCCATTTGTGGCTCAGTGTTTGATCATCGACCCATGAACCAGGAGGTCAGGGTTCAATTCTGGTAGAGGCACATGCCAGCTTGCAGGCACAATCCCCAGTGGAGAGCATGCAGGAGGTAGTGAATCAATGATTCTCTGTCATCATTGATGTTTTTAACCCTCTCTCCCTCTCCCTTCCTCTCTCTGAAATCAATAAAATCCTCTTTTAAAGAAATTACCAAAATGAAGAAAAGTCTAAATCTGATGATTAAAGATGGTGACAATAAAGACCAACAGGCTGGAATGAATGAGTGACAGAATTTGCCTTCAACCACAAAACACATCGGCCTTTGTTAGCTATTCGATTTTATATTCAGGCTTACCTTGATCATCTTTGTCATTACTATTTGCAAACTCTGTTGAGTATTTGGAACAATCTAAGCCCAGAAGTTCCTGCTGTTGTTTTAAAATTTCATCCATCAATCTGGAATTATTTCTTTTGAAAATACCTAAAAAAAAAAAAAGCAAGTAAATCCAAATGAGGGTAAGTTATCTCTTTAATAAATAGTGTGTTTGCTGTGAAAACAATACTAGATCCAGAACTGAACAAATGCCAAATGAAGTAGTCATGACTAATTAAACTAGAATCTGAAAGGAAGTTATAACAACAGAACTTTGTTAATATAAAGAGCCTGGCTTCAGGCTAAAGTAAAAAACAAAACAGGGGTAACTATATAGTGTCAATGTAAACATGACAGAAATTTAGACCCAGAAAGACTTAAGATCATTTACTCGACAACTTTATTTACAGATTATGAAACTGAGACACAACATCCTCAAGGGTCTTGTCCAGGGATTTAGAAACTGCAGCAGTAGTCTAGAGTCCATATCTTCCAGACTCCCAGCCTCATGGAATTTCCTTGCAGACTTACTATGTATATTCAGAACCATAACTTCAACTTGATTAGATTTTTTAATAGTAGAGGGACTAATATGAAATATGTAAAAAGTAGAAAATAGATAAAACTAGCAAAATTTAGTGAATTCAGCCCTGGCCAGGTAGCTCAGTTGGTTAGAGCATCATTCTGATACATCAAAGTTGTAGGCTTGATACCTAGTCAGGGCACATGCCAGAATCAACCAATGAATGCATATAAATAAGTGGAGAAACAAAATGGTATTTCTTTCTCTCCCTCCGCCTCTCTCTCTAAAAACATCAATCAATCAATAACAATTTTAAAAATTAAAGTCAACAAAGGATGAAGGAACTAAAAGTGTGACATGCATTTAATGTAAAACTAATATAAAGAGCTCTAACTAAAATCAAGTAAGTTTTTGGCTATTTTCAGAGAAGCCAACTTTCCTTTTTGGCCTTTACCAAGTATTCCTCTCAGTCAAATGTGATTTTAAAACAGTTCAAAGATTAACTGGGAGAGAGAGAGAATATAATAAGTACATAAAAATAGCACAGAAGTTGCTGAATATCCGATATAATAAAAGGCTAATATGCAAATTGTCCCCTCGGGCGGGAGTTCAAACAGGGGGTGGGGCTGGCTGGCCAACCTCCCTCAGCTCCCCCCCCTGACCCCCCACCAGACTGACTGGGCCCAATTGGGGCAGGCCAGCCGGACCCTACCCATGCACTAATTCGTGCACCGGGCCTCTAGTGCTATATATAAATGCCAACTTGGTAGTGTACGTGTAATAGCAGTTTAAAGACAAAAGCAGTCTCTATTGGTAGGGGAAAGGCTTTGTAAAATAAGACTTGAGGGAAGAAAATGGGAAGAACATTTACATGGAGAAAATGCTTAAGAAAAAAACATGGAATGCTCAAAAGACCGACAAATGCTGCTGGTGCAAAGGATCTGTGAAAAGGGGCAAAGGGATAGTCCTAATTTTTATTTCATTTTGTCTGCTCAAAGGGCAACCAACAATTTCTGAGCAATGTGGAATGTGTGAAATGTGTTTCTTCAGGAAAATTAACCTGGTAACAGTAAAGAGAAGGCCAGTAAGCAGACTACTGCAGAAGTCTATACATATTTTGATGAAGCAATGGAAAAGGATTCACTACAAAGGAAGAAATGATAGGATAAAGAATATGACTTAATTAGAGGTAAAAACAGAAAATTCCATGACTTTAATCTCTGGTGACAGACTATGTGAACATCTTTTTTTTTTTTTTAAGTAGAGAAAGTCTACAAAGAGAATTGGTTCGAAGGAAAAAATAAGTTTACTTTTACATAGCTGATTATAGAATATTTAGGTAAGGGTTTATTGTAAGAGTGACTAAGAGACACCAAGGGAAAGATGTTCAAAAGAGGTCGTCACATAAGCACCGCAAGTAGGAGTCTTACTGCTTTGTTTACGAGGGGCAGCAAAGTGCCTGGTACAGAAGAGACACTCAACAAGTGAGCTTCTACTGAAAGAAGATGGCAAGTCAGAGATTGGCTCGGGGACTGGGAAAGGCCTCGTTTGGGTTAAGTGACTTTTCAGCTGGTCTCTGAAGAATTAGGAGAATTTTTTAGATGTGGGGCTGAAAAGACAACATAACAAAAAATGGAGGATGAAGATGTAGATACATATTTGGGAATCATCCTCCTTAAGGTGAGAGCCAAACACATAAGAAATAATAAATACAATTTCCAAAGGTAAAGGGGCACATCATATACATGGAGGAGAGCAAAGGGCTAAGAATGTGGCTCCATAAAAAAGTCCGCATTGCCCGGCCAGAGTGGCTCAGTTGGTTGAGCATTGTCCTGTGCACATGGAAGGGTTGCCAGTTGGATTCTCAGTCAGGACACATGCCTGGGTTACAGGTTCAATCCCCAGTTGGGGCACATATGGAAGGCAATCAATTGATTGTTGTTTCTCTCTCACGTTGATGTCTGTCTGTCTAAGAATGTCCTAAGGTGAGAAGTTAAAAAAAAAGTCCACAATCATTAAGACTTTAAGCTTAGAAAGATAAAGGAAAGCATTTTGTAACACCCATGTCCAGAGCAAGATTAAAAACAACAAATATATTCCTAAACACAAAGAAAATTCTTAAAGAAGGTTTTAATATCAGGAGTTATTTGAGTACGTATTTAGGATAGTAATACTTGTGTAGTAATATAGATGTATTTGGATATAATCATTATCCTCAAGTCCAAAACAAAAGTCACAAGTAAAAAAAAATAGCATATAAATTTTTGATACAGGTTTATAACTGTTACCAGATTTCCGATTACCTATGCAAGAAGAAATAATAATTAATAAAATATTAATTAATCTGTTTATCCTACCCCTCCAGATTAAAATGGCAAAGCTTTTCAGAAACTCTTGCCCTCTCCAATGCAATGGATGACATTCTTTATCAGCAAAACAGTCACCACTTCTCAATCTTTACTCTTTCCTTCTCAACCTTTCTGTTAACATTAATGACCACCCTGCTTCTTCAAAATCCTATCCTCATTCAAGCTTGTCTGAATGTCCTCTCCTGGTTCCATTCTCAATCTGCTCCTTGACTGGCCCTTCTCACTTTGGACTGCATGCCTTTTCCTCTTTCCAACCCCTCCCCCACCTCCCACCCTGTTCCTGTCCCTGTCCCTAGGTCCACGTGTTCTTCCTCCTCTGATCCTAGTTACTCATAGGATTTTAAAACCACTCCAGACCAGGACAGGCTAAGATGAGTGAAGCAAAATTTAAGGGGGTGCCCAAAACTCAGTAATTAAACATCCATGATGAACAGAACATTAAAATTTGAAGTAAAAAAAGGATTAGCATTTGGTTCCTATCACTTCCAGTTCAAACATCTAATCTTACCCAAAAGTTCTGTAAGCATCTGAAAATGAACACATCTAAAACATGGCAGCTTATATTTAAAGCTAGCTCCCAAGCACTTGTATTACATCAAGTTAAAAAAAAGTGGGGGGTCTGAATAGGCTATATGAGAACAGTGAATATATAAGCCTGGTGGGACATTTAAAATCACAACTGCTACTTATATAATTAATAAATACTTATATAATAAATAAATAAATAGCCCTTCTTGTTCTAATAAAAGCATCACTACCTGCCAGTCACTCCAGCCATCTTCTCTCTCAAGCGTTATCACTACCACCTCATCGGCACCCTATTAATATGCAGAACCCATACACTCTTCTACAGCAATGCTCCCTGTACCCATTTCCTTTTGTCCAGTTGACATCGTTGTATTTAACTCAGTTATTAATTAACTGGAAAGGAACAATGACTGAATATAACAGGTACGCCCATAATAAGGTCTGGATGACGTAGGGAAGATGACGACCTGTCAGTCACTCCTGGGAGTGGTCATTGGCCAGAAGAGGCGTGGCCACTGCAAGTGCAACAAGATCTGAGATATACTAGTATAAGTTCCAGAACAAAGGAGTTCCCTCTTTCTTGCTCTCTCTCAGGACTCTTGTGGCAGGGGGTGTACTCTCATGCTCCTGCATTTGCCTACATGGCTCACGGCCATGTGGACCCCACACACAATGGACTAATGGACTCTAACTAGTCTGATGCAACATGGGTCCCAGCTCCACCATGGAACACAAACTCAGGGCACTGGCTTTGCTTTTAGCTCTGCTGGATCCCCAACTGCACCTTTTCCAGGACTGGTTTAAGGGAAATGAGACTTTGCAACTTGAGGGATATAATTCCACACAAATAAAGCTTTATACCACATCTTATTTTCCCTGGAGGCCTCCAGAAATTCTTTTTCCAATGGCACCCCAAAAACTCCACTCTCACTAGCAATGGAGAAGAGCAATCCACATAATTCTCCGATAACACTTTGGCCCCACTGTTTCAAGCAATAGTCTTCTTTATAATATTACAACCACCTTCTAATGTGTCTTTCCTGTCCCTTCTCATGTATTGCTAGACTGACTACAAGATTAATCTTCTCTGGGTATATCTTCAATCCTGTCACAGTCCAACTTTAATATCGTCAATGGCTCCCCAAATACTGAATATATTAAGAACAAGCTGCTCAGATCAGCACTGATATTCCAGCCTATGCTTCCACACTTGGTGGCTAGGAATACTTTATATTTATGAAATAAATTAATCTCTCTGTCTCTATAGTACCATATTGCCAGCAAATTAGATTGCTTCCTTTCCTCCAAAAACACAGGAAGTGAGGCCGGCCTCCAACCTTTATTATGTTACCTACACAGCCCCACACCTGTAAAATTCTACTAATTCTTCACAGGCCACTGAAATGTCACTTACCCTCAATCCACCAGACAGATGTGCCTCATTCCTCCTCTCACCCCCTCCGAATACACAATTTGTTCAAACTCCTTGATAGACTAATATTCTACATTTTATTATAGTTATAGCTTAACCCTTCTCCCCCAACTAAACTGTACTTAGCTATGAACTAGTGTCTTACTTACCTCTTTTCCTCTAGGATACCTTCCACAATGTTTATTTAATAAACTGAATTATCAGTGCACAAAATGTCACCTAACAACAACAAAACCTAAATGAACACGTCACTGAATGGAATTTTTTTAATGTTTCCAGGAACCTCCCACAATAAAAGCAGACACTTCCTTATTGCACATAAGCAGAGATTATGTTTAAAAGGAAGAATACTGTACAGAGGCATCGTTACAAAGCACCTTTTATAAAGACTTCCATACAGTTATTTTAAACAGAACATTTATGTTGGCTGGTTTGGATAAAGAGATGAAATTTAAAAAAAAGTATAGTGTCTGAGAAATGCTAAATGCATAGATAGGACAGATTATCAGCAAGATGACCCCTGATACCTAGTAACTTGAACCCCATCCGGAAACCTGATTATAGTCTATGGCACTTATCTCACGTATACATAAGCAAGATTATAAGCTTACCATTTTCTTCAGGATTCAAAGTCCACACACACTTCCATGATACAAAAGAAATGCAACAACATGCAAGTGCGCCTTGGACTGCAACAGGCAACTCCTCTAGCAATACCAAGCTGATGTGGGGATTCTTTTTCTCAAATCATAACTCATCTTGTTTGCTTTCATAGAATCTAAACTAATGCCAAAATGATATGAGTTTGGCATGAAATCCAGGTCTCCTGGTTTCTAATTATTCAGTTCAGCAACTATTTCTAACACTGATAAAGAATGATGAACCCAATTTACTATTAAATTTTGAATTCTCCTCTCAAAAAAATCAAACTCCATAAAATAAAACTGACCTTTTGCAAAAGAATAGTATCTTTTGAAAAAAACTAGGACTACAGTTTGTTTTTAAAAAACTTTTGAAGGTTTCCTAGGGCTAACAGATAATTAAATTCTTTAAAAAATGACTTAAGAATATAAGTTTTTTGCAATAATGATTCATTTTTCTTAATTTTTTAAAAAATACATTTTATTTCTTGATTTATGATGATGTCTTACCCCTATAAATATGTATCTTAAATATGTTTTTATTGATATTTAGATGGAGAGAGAAAGGGAGAGGGAGGTAGAAACATTGATAAGAGAGGAACATTGATCGGCTGCCTCCTGCATACCTCCCACTGGGATCAAGCCTGCAACCGGGCATATGCCCTGAACGGGAATTAAACCAGTGACCTCTCGGTGCAGTGGACAATGCTCAATCCACTGAGCAACACCGGCCGGGCTGCAATGATTTAGAGAATTTTACATTATGTTTTGTTGCTCTCTCAATTTTCCAAGTATAAACTACATGTAAATATACATAGAAAAGATAATATGGAAGAACCAAAAAATTTTAAAACACACACATGCACACACCCACAAAAATCTAGTTTCCATGAAAGAATAAAATATTAGGCTAGGAAGGCTGGACCTCAGAAAGACTACAATGTTTTTGGTATTTCTTAATAAACACTACTATGTACTTTGAGGGCCATATGTACTTCTTTTTATATCTGAAGGAATGCCTGTTTTAAATTCTAATATTAAAAACTACATGAGATGTTCAAAGTTTAGACAATAAAGGAATGTCCCCTAACCATCCATCCACCTTACCGTTATAACACAACTATTTCTAATTTTTAATATTTCTGAGTCTTTGTCTACATGCATGTGTAATACTGGCATTTGTGATCATGCAGTTCTGCATCATGCTTCTTTCACCCCAACATTTAGAAGTGGAGCAAAGGAGAAGCTAGGCATAAGTCTGAGAAGAAACAGACAGTGAGAAACGAAGAAATCCAACCATATGGGATGTCACGGAAGGCAGGAGAGAAAACATTTCCGAGGGAAAAGGAATTAAGTACGTCCTATCCACCTGTTTGATTTATACTGTACTCAGGAACCTTAATGGAGTCTTTAAAAAGTCTCTAGTATGTTAGTTAAAATGACACTGCAGAATTGCTTATAGGTTTCAATAGGTACACTACCTATACTATACTCAAGCATCTACACCAGCGGTTCTCAACCTTCTGGCCCTTTAAATACAGTTCCTCATGTTGTGACCCAACCATAACATTATTTTCGTTGCTACTTCATAACTGTAATGTTGCTACTGTTATGAATCATAATGTAAATATCTGATATGCAGGATGGTCTTAGGCGACCCCTGTGAAAGGGTCGTTCGACCGCCAAAGGGGTGGCGACCCACAGATTGAGAACCGCTGATCTACACATTAACTGGGTCACAAAGCCATGGCATACTTTTTTCAACTTAATACCAAGTAACAAGGAGTTTAATTAGGCAAGTGTTCAACTAGCAAATCTTACCTGTAGCCCTTAAATCAGCGGTTCTCAACCTGTGGGTCATGACCCCTTTGGGGGTCAAACGACCCTTTCACAGGGGTCGCCTAAGACCATCGGAAAACACATATACAATTACATATTGTTTTTGTGATTAATCACTATGCTTAATTATGTTCAATTTGTAACAATGAAATTGGGGGTCACCACAACATGAACTGTATTAAAGGGTTGCAGCATTAGGAAGGTCGAGAACCACTGCCTTAAATACATCTAACATCCAAGGGGAGAAAAGTGAGAAAAACACTGAAATATCTCTTAGTTATAAAGCATCTCTCCAGCCATGGAATCAAAGTAATAGCTCTTTGTAAATAGGTGAACTCACTCAAGTAGCCTAACTTTCTTCTTTTTAAACCAGACATCTACGTAAGTTACCTAGTGGCTGCCCTCATTTAATTCTCTAACAATCAAATTATACCACTACTGGAGGCAAACGCCAGCGAGGAAAACATATAAAGCAATTATTTAAAATAAAATAAAAAACTGCAATTAACATTTTAGATGAATGAAGCAGTCATAACACATCTTTTTTTTTTTTTTTTTTTAAATATTTTATTGACTTTTTACAGAGAGGAAGGGAGAGGGATAGAGAGTTGGAAACATCGATGAGAAACACTAATTAGCTGCCTCCTGCACACCCCCTACTGGGGATGTGCCCGCAACCAAGGTACATGCCCTTGACCGGAATCGAACCTGGGACCATGGAGTCCGCAGGCCGACGCTCTATCCACCGAGCCAAACCAGTTAGGGCATCATAACACATCTTATAACCTATTAAAAAGCTTTACTTCAAGGGCACCCCAGGATACCTCATGGAAAACAATTACACTGGAATTAGCATGTAGCAAGGGAACAGATACGTGTAACGCTGGCATTGTGGGCAGAATGAGTGCTGGGTTTTCAGTGCCAGTGCTTCCGCAGGAGAAATGTGTAAAAGGAACAAGCCTCCTGGGCTCACTCCGTCTCTGGCTGCACATGTAAAAATGCAACTGTATTCAAAGACTCTGATCACCTGACAAATAAATAGTTCAATACAAAGCAGGAGCCCCATCAAGTTAAATCCATCGGATTAAGAAAGGAAAGTGATTCCTATGGTTCACGGGATGAACATTTATAATAGTGGTATGAAGAACATTCTATTTGCCTTTAAATATCTTTTACCAACCATTCTATCACCTGAGATAAGTGCCACTTTACTAAGGCTTTACTCCTACCAGACCTGAGGCCCTGAACCTAACTGTCCCCTATACCTGGGCTCCTGAGCATTAAAGAGAACAACAAACCAACATGATATAGAAAAATGTTAGTTACATGCAAACAAGTGGTTTGAATAAGATGGAACTTGGAGTCAAAAAAATCGGTACAGCGGTCTGGTAGGGTTAAGGTGACCTTACATAATCAGGACTAGTACTAAAAGTGATTGCATTGTGGTCACATT